GTCATAGAGTGGCGATCTCATTACGATGTAATTACCCACGGAAGCACTCGCAAGGAAGGAAATTAATAACGCAAACGACCAGTGTGCAAAATCCACTCTGCGTAAAATCCACTCTGCGTTGACAGTGCAGTTGAATTCTCTTACTTGTCATTAAAATATCCACAGAGTGTCTGAGTTGATCATATCTGTGTATATATGCGGATGATAGATGCTTACATTACGTCGTCATGATAAAAACGATAGACGAAGCGTGTACGTTGGATTTACTGTTATCGTGCGTTTCAGAAATGTTGGTTACTGAATGCAGGCAGTGACAATGTAGTAGTGCTACAAATGTATACTTGCTCTGAAATCACCACAAAGGGATTCCATTGAATGATAAATTGTTAAATGTATTTTCAGTCTCGGTGGGACTTTGTATTTTTATTTTGGTCGTGTTGTTTTTGTTTTGGTTCAGTTTTAGTTAGTTTGTTTGTATTTTACATAAAATGTTAAATATATGCTTTTAACCCTAACCCACCTCACTCCTCCAAAATCCTCCTGGCGGTTTTGGAGGATTCTAGAGGATTGAGGGTGAATGGTGATTGAATCAAATGAGGATTCTGGAGGATTGAGGATGAATGGTGATTGAAGCACATGAGGATTTTGGAGGATTGAGGATGAATGGTGAATGAAGCACAAGAGGATTTTGGAGGATTGAGGATGAATGCATTTTGAGGCAGGACTGTCTGATGATTTTGAAGGATTTGGCGTTGGTTATCCTTCATTTAAACACGAGTGCAAAGTTTTGGGATGAGGAGGATTTTGGAGGATTGAGGATGAATGCATTTTGAGGCAGGACTGTCTGACAATTTTGAAAAATTTAGGCGGAGTTGAAAAATTTTGGAGGATTGAGGATGGTTGTAAGCAACAAGGGCCTAGGGGGTTAGGGTTAAAGAATGAAGCTCTGTAAAATCCTTTGGAGTGCTCCTCTTGACATGAATTGATGTAAGAAATAATATATACTTTGGAAGAAAACTATTTAATTTTTTTAACTTTGTAATTTGGATTGAATAATTAAATTTTTTTTTTTTTGCTTATTCAGTTTAACATTATCACTTTTCTCACAATTTTTGAATAAAATCAAGGCCGTTGCTTTTTTTCAGCATAATGTTCAACTGTTAGCACAAGTTCGCTCCAACTCCTCCATGCTGCGTGGGAGCAAGAAGCTCCATCAGTACAATTACATTTTTTGTCTCGTGTTTAATGGCGGGAAAATCTGGGAGAAAAGAGAAGTCAGGACATTGTTGAAAGCTGAATCCCCCCCCCCCCAATCCCCGAACAGCCAATGTCTTTAATAACTGTGAAAAAAATGAAAACCCTCAAAATATCTAACCAAGTTAAGTTGGTACAGCTATTAAGTGTTTACTCAATAAACATGTATGTCTGGAGACACATGTTACATGGTAATCAGGCTTGCAATATCGTTTAGCAAAGTAAATATTCGTCAAAATTTGGTGTTCAAAATTTGCATTCCATTAGCCCTGTTAAGGTTGGTTGGACAGTGTAACAACCGCACTGTAGAACATAACTTTATATTGAGTTCATATGATAATTGAGATACCAGTAAAAATCAGCTTATATTTTTTTCTGCATATTTTAAGACCTGGAAATAAACTTTGCAGTATACAGAAACTAGGCTAATGTAATTCATACAGTCTATGAATTCAGCCATATTTGCTAGTAAAGTTCGTTTTATAGCAGGAGTAAGTTTTTTTTCCATCCATGTTGGTCAGTTTTACTTTTAGTGTCTATTTCTTTACAGTTTATTTGACTGTGCTTTTGGTTGAATATTGAATATTTCATGGCTATTTCATGCAAGCATTGTAATAACTAACCAAAATACAAACCTTATGAATTGAATCATATCGCTGCTGTCGTCAGGCCCCACATGTTGCGTACATAAACACCACTTGGCTTACACAGTAAACATCCAAATGAGTCCCGGACTCGGCTCAAAATCCAACGCAGAACTCCCAGAAGAACCCAACGGATGTCCCATGGAAATATTCCCCTCGGAAGAGAAAAATACACGCGCATATACACAGAGCGGCGATTTTAATATATCCAAGCTTGTCGGGAGAGATGACCAACGTTCATCCAATTAAAAGTAATCAATGCTTTGGATGAAGAGACTCTGACAGTTAGTGTTGGTTGCTGCGAACTTAGCATTTTAATCCAGTGTGTAATGTCAGCCGACGACATACGTCCGTGCACTACTTTAATAATCACACTGGACTCACGAGGGGATCACCATCCCGTAGCTAGGCAACTGAGTCTCATGTACGGGGACCTGAGCCTTTTGTAGTGTTGCGGACGACACAATTGCACGGCCCATTGTGGAGAGGACGGGGGGACGGCCAGTGATTGGTCGACGGGTCGGGTGAATGGTGTTGATGGGATTGCAGAGCTGACCGTGAACCTGAGTGTTTTTTTGACGACACACTTCAAAGGATTTCATTATTCATAGAGTTCCCGTCACTTCACAATGATAGTAATTACTCTATCGCATCATGAACACAAGCGTGGAATTTATACAAGAGAAGTAAATATTTTGCAGTATTTAAACTGGCAAAGCTCATTAAAATATATTGATGCAGTACACGTATACAAATATGACATTGTGCTTTAGTGCTGGTCTATTTCTTGTTTTCTTTTTATGTGTGTAACATACAGGTATCATTGATTTTTTTTAATACAAATTCTCTAATTCGAATTGCTAATCGTGACCAATGCGGATATCATTTTATCTATACATTTGCAAACCTTATAAATCACCCAAATGCTGAAGAATATTTTATTAGTAGTGCATAAATCGCCTTTTCATTTGAAATCATTTTAAAATTTACATATAACTTAATTTTTTTCTTGTGAAAAATAAACTTGTCGTCCAATAAAGTGCATGGGCCTTATTCACGAGTTGGCCATTTTTGTCGAGTTCCCTGAATGTATTTCATTAATTGTTAACTGTTGAATGGGATGGCGCCAGACTATTTATGCAGGCACAATGCAGCTTTATTTTACTGTCATTTTTTTGTTAAATATGGCTTTAAACATTAGGGAATGTTTAATTACAAATTTTAAATTATTCATTGAAGCAGACTGGAATTTATTATAAAGTAACTTGCTTTCATTTCTCTTCGCAACTTCCAAAAATTACGATTTTACCTAACTTCCAATTCAATATGGCCGACTTGTGAATAAGGCCCATGGCGTTTGAAGCCAGGCTTTACAGATGGGTTGTCCAGATTTTCTGTTACTTGAAAAAGACTGGAAAACTTTCAGCTGAACAAAAAATGTTCTGTTGCCTAAATGACTATGTCCGAACCGTCCAAGTCTCAAAACGCGATATCCAAAAGAAGCCTGCATATTCCTCCAACTCTAATCTCGCTGGGATTTCAGCATTTAACAAGTACAAATGAAAACTTTGAATATTGTTACTTATCACTGACTATTCTCTATTTAAAATCAGCGATAAATTGATAATAAAATCAGAGGTAAACGATTTGTGATTTCCGTAAGTATGGATTTCCAGAGATTTATCCACAACACGTGTCACCACGCGCATATATTTGGGCCTGTTCTCTGCAATAAAGCAGGAGTCGTCGAATGTATGCATCTCCTGAAAACTTAGAACAGTGTTATCAAAACACGTCAAAGACCCAAGAACCCAACCCTTACATTCTCTTGTCAACCTCATCCCCAGTAGATTGATGAGGAGTATCAAATCTCTCATGATATCAGCGGCATATATTGCTGTTCAGCCAATCCCAGCCTCCTGTTGCCCGATGTGATCTGTCCTAGAGTGACCCGTCATTGACCTGTTTCCTGTGTGGTCGCTGACTCTTTGGTATTTTGGTGGCTTTGAAATATGAAGATACATGTAATTGAAGAGGATGGTTAGGGGATGGGCAACACCAGATGCATCTTCACAGAAACTTGATAAGCACAGAATATATCTGCTTAGCAGAAAAGGTTTACCAGCCAAAATATCATGCAATGTGTATTGCTTGCGACTGGTGCCCCGCTTATTTCTGCTAAGTGTGTAAATTTGCTAAGCGACATCTTCAGCTCCGTGAAATCTACCCTGATGATCAGAGATGTCTTCAACCTTTTTTTTTTTTTTTTTTTTTCCTTCAATTTATGGTTTCATAAAGATTGACTGTTGCAGGATTCGAATCTCAAACCACTGGAATACATTGTCAGTGCTATACCATCTTGCTTATTTACTTGTTTTGCTGGTGTTTGTTTCGTTTTTAATGTTGTTGAATTTTTTTCTCGTCATAGTCAACATATTTCTTTGATTTTACTTCTGTACTACTAAGAGGCATAGATGACAGCCAATTTCTAAGTTAGACCCTTGGATTTTGGTCTTAATTTTTGTTTTGCAAGACGTAGGACAAATCTGACGTAGGAGTTCGGAGCCTACACTCAGTCCAAAACAGCAACTGTTCGGGATAAACCTGTGCACATATCTAAGAATACAGTTTCCCAGACACATGTGCAGTCAGCCGGTTTAAGGTCTCCCCGGTATTCCTCAAATATTGATAGAGCGAATCTGGCCGCAATTCCCCGGTGCCCCGCCACTGGCTTGCAGTATTCATGGGGTATAAATGACGGATGTTTTGATGCGCCATTAGCTTTACGGAAAGATTGGCAAGAAGAAGGGTTGGTTGTTGCTCATAGGCACTTTGCCATGCATAAGTCATACACTTGGGTCTGGCCTGAAGATTAAATATCCTAGGTAAATATCCTAGGTGCCGGTGACTGTTTGGTTAGGTACGAAGGTGTGGAAGTAATGGATTGGAAAAGACATCTAACCCCCCCCCCCCCCCAAAATGGAAAAGTTTGTGAAAGTTCTTTATTTGAAAAGCACTCAGAAAATATTTTGTTTGTTTGTTTGTTTGTTTATTTGTTTGTTTAGCTTCCATGGCCACCTGATGAGATTAGGCCCACTCAATTTTTGTTTAAATACAAAACTTACTATCCTCAAACAAATGAATTATATCGGCTTTGTTTTTATTATTTTTGTTTTCGTCAGGTCTGCTACTCCGTACAACGGTTTCATGATCATGAATCGTCTGAGTATGAACAACTTAACAGAACCTGTCACCAAGGAGCTGGAGTTCCAACTACAAGATCCATTCTTACTGTACAAGACAGCACAGTGTGAGTTAGGAAGCCAGACCTAAATCCATGAGTAATCCCCAGGGTCGTAATCCATTCTGTCACAAGTAGTTCACAAGTCAAATCACAAATCAAATCACAAGTCAATCATAAGTCAATCACAAGTCAATCAGAAGTCAGTCACAAGTCAATCACAAGTCAATCACAAGTCAGTCACAAGTCAGTCACAAGTCAATCACAAGTCAAATCACAAGTCAATCACAAGTCAAATCACAAGTCAATCACAAGTCAATCACAAGTCAATCACAAGTCAATCACAGGTCAATCAAAAGTCATTGACAATTCAAATCTCAGTTCGAATCACAAGTCAATCACAAGCAAAACCACAGCTCAAATCACAAGTCAAACTAAGTCAATTTGAGATGGGATGAAGTCGAGATTGATATGTGTCAGTATTGTAGTTTAGTCCATCAAGAGTCAGTCACATGTCCATTGTAAGTCCAGTCACAAGTTGATCATAATTCAGTTCACAAGTCCAGTCACAAGTAACAGGGGATGGACAATAACAGTTGATTCAATAGCTTGTGATTTGACGTGGGACTGGATGACTTGTGATTGACTTGTGATGACCTGTGATGACTTGTGATGTCCTGTGATGACCTGTGAGGACGTGTGATGATGTGTGATGACTTGTGATGAGTTGTCATGACTTGTGATGACTTGTGATGGCTTTTGAGGACTTGTGATGACCTGTGAGGACCAGTGATGACATGTGATGACTTGTGATGAGTTGTGATGACTTGTGATGAGTTGTGATGACTTGTGATGGCTTGTGATGACTTTTGAGGACTTGTGATGACCTGTGATGACCTGTGGTGACGTGTGTTGACTTGTGATGATTTGTGATGACTTGTCATGACTTGTGATAACATGTGAGGACTTGCGAGGACTTGTGAGGACTTATGATGTTTTGTGATAACTTGTGAGGACTTGTGATGGCCTTGACTACAGCTGTGTCAAATCATTGCAGCATTACCGAACCTATCTTCACCTCCTGTTGTATTGTTCATCAAGTCAATCCCCAAGTCCAACCACAAAAAAAAGAAATGCCTTTTTACCAGTTCATTTGAATAGCTTGTCACGTGTCTGAGAATGGATGTCTTGTGATTGGCTTATGAATAGGGATCTCTCACTGACCAATGTGCCCCAGCTTACATCTGGGTACCAGAAAGTCAGCGCCGCCATTGTAGTAGGCAAAGATTTTATAGCACCGTGTGCAGTAGGTAGTAGGCAAGCCTTCAAAGCTGTGAGAAAAAAAAAACTGTGAGAAAGGTGCAAAGCCAACACCCAGCGCTTGGTCGGCATGATTATGACAACGAAACATGGCACAGGTAGTGATCATTATGCCACTTGATAAAGAATTGCAGCTATTTTACATGAAAATAAGCCCTACTGTCGAGTTTACAATGCAAAAAGTGGTTGCTAACAAAATGCTCGCCTACAGCAATGGTAGTCGATCACAGTGAAACTTTGACGTCATGCGATTGGACCCTATTGACTTTTAATGGACTTGCCACTAGTGGACTTAAATGCCTTGACTTGTGATGGACTACACCACAGCTGTGTCTTGTTCACTATTAAATCTATCCAACCCAAGTTGTGTATTATTCATTGAGCCAATCACACTCTCTGTTTTGTCCCCCAGCTATCTATGGATTGTGGTTCTATGACAAGACTGAGTGTCTACAGGTCGCTAGACTTATGGAAAGGTAACTATACAACTCGGATCGTTGTGTGACGTTTATTCAGATTTGTCAGTTGAAAATTCATTGTTAAGTGTTGGCCATCTCAGTTCTGATGTTACATTCAGTTCAAATTGAGGAAAGAATGTTGCAACCTGACCTCCCTTTTTTCTTCATATATCATCTCAATAAAGGTCCGTCTTTGCAAAAATGTTGCAAAGACATGAGTCTGGGACTGTGAAACATTTCAAATTTTGTTAGGAAATACTTAGAAAAGTTTCTTGACTATCCATAGACTCTGTACACAACCACTGAAGTGGTGTCAGGATACTACATTCTTTCCTAAATTGATTAGATTCACACAAAAAAGGTTCCCTTCTAGAATAGACCTTATGCTTGGCAGCCATCTGAGAGGCCAATGTCTTTGTTTTGCTGGGATACGCATGAGTGAACCTTTTGTGCATTCATTGTTACTGAATTAAAATAACAAAGGATGGCCTCTAAGATGGCCGCTACGCATAAGGTCCGTACTCCAGTGAGGATTCAAAGCACGTTACTGAGATAATACCGCATTCGCATGCACATTGTATGCTTGAACTCATGCTCCTCAATGAATGACATATCTACTTCTTTTGCTTAAAGCTACAGTCCATCATTTGTAATTTGTGCATTTTGTTCGTTTGAAGCAACAAAAGAGTTCAAAATCTAATGAAGGATACTGAGCAACTAACCTGATGAAGTTTCAGCTAAGCTTCAGCTGTACATTCCGAGAAAAACAGCATTCTAAGATCTTAATTTCAAATCAAAAGTTACTGAATCATGTTTTGAATTGTTTTGAATTGCAGCTATACGCGACGTCGCGCACTGATCCGACGAATTACAACAACTGCGCGCGCGTGTGCGTCATTCCAATACTTGTGCACGCTGCGCTGAATAAAAAATGAACTACTAATTTAAATTTTCCTACGGTGCTTCTTAAGAATCACCGTTGGAAATGCCTTCTTTCGTTGATTACTTCAAAATGACAGCTTCCCAGAAAGAATAATTTCACAGGGAGTTTAGTTCCCTTACTATCTTTCAACCAAGTTTGTTTTTCAACAATAATTACGCCAGTTACTTTTCGGATGGCTGCAAATGATGGACTATAGCTTTAAGAAAAACAACTTCAGTTTGTGGCACTGCATTTCAGTATTACCGTTCATGTTTTTGTTTTTTTAGCTGCGGGATAGCAACTCAACAAATCATCATGTCTTTCTGTTAGTCTGTTTAGTTAGTAACAGGTGTTGAAATTGTCTATTGCTCCTACATTTGCTCCTTTTTTTCATAGAAATTCATAAAAAATAATGCTAAAACCTACCCCCTCCCCCTTGCTCTGACACCCCAAAAAGTTATACAGCGCCCCCATTGAAAGTATGGTACGGGCCCCCCCCCCCCCTCACTTCTTCTGTGTGGCCAGTCTTTGGCATTTTGGAGTTATTTTTGCTGGAAGTTGTTGGATTAATTTAAAGTATTCTAGTGGCAAACTTTTTTGTGGTAGAAATCGCTGGTAATGAAGCTACAGTTTCAGAGAGCTGCAAATGTAAATGACTTTCAGAACGTCCTTCGCTTTTGAAATGTTTTTCTCAATAGATTTTCACAGATAGATAGCATGAGATGTTGTTTAACTAGAGCCGTTGAAAAAAAGCTTGATTAAAAAAAGAACAAAAATAAAATCTTTCATTCACAAATATTGTCAGGGTAAAAAACAAACTTGGCAAATGGTTTCACCGCTGCATTTTGCAGTAATGTCATCAACCACGTAATTAACTTAACAAAGGGGGAATCACAAAGCTTTGGGTGACCTTTCACCTCTATCCTTCCGTTATTGTTTTCATTATTTACACGGATGACATTGAAAAATAAAGGCCATATCAACTGAAGTAGTGCAGTGAAGATGACATCATATTGTTCCAACTTGAACACAAGAGGGCGACATTTACAAAAATTGATCTTGGCAGCCATGATTGTACTAATCCTGGATGGTTTTTTGAAATGGTGGCATCTACTCTGGTTTTGGCCTCATCCTTGGTTTTAGAATTATTTTTGAGGCCAAACAGTAGAGTGACGGTAACCTTTGAACTCGTAACATAGGATTCAATGTTCTGAAGTAGAACATGGCTGTCTCCGAATCACGTGCCTATGGCTAGCGTGACACAAGGCTATGAGAAGTGGCTGTGATTCTTGAACTTGAACTGTTGTAAGTCAGGCTGCTGTTTCTGTTGCCAGTGTCAGTGTGTAATAATAAACTTTTACATTTTTTGAATGCAATTGTCGGGGGAAGGTAGATGATTTGTTTAGCCTGTTGATCTAATCACATTCTGAATCCCCAAATCATTTCCACTGGTTCATGGTGTGATCCACCTCTTACCCCTCTTTAACACTGCGTTCCCACTTGAGTTGGGAAAAGGCGGATCAAGATCCGGCATTTTGGTGTGATCGTTATCTTACCGCAACGAAACCACAAGTCCCACTTATGCTTGATTCACCTTTTTCGAATGGAAATGTTGCGTCCGAAAGGTCACTGAGTTTGGCATTACGCATGCGCTAGCTTGCTGAACTTGCGCTGTGTGGCAGTGTTGCATGCTGGGATGGAGAAATATGCAACGAATTGTAAAAGGCCTAGTGTTGTATTAGGATATGTACACTTGTGCTGCATGCATGCATCCCGCACACGATTTCAGGATCTGATCCACCAATTGGGGGATCTGATCCGGCAATTTGGCAACAGGTGGATCAGATCCCCCAATCGGTGGATCTAGTAGGAACAGGGTCTTTAAATTCTACTAATCTTTCCCTCTCTTAATCTCGTTTGCAGCTTGGTCCACAAGGCCAAGAAACGAGCTAAAGGTTTGGCCCATCGTAGTCGCAGCGTCTCGGAGAGTGACGCCGGTCCCTCAGCCATGGGTCAAGCACCGGAGCAAGTTGATATCATGCAGATGCTGTCCAGAGCTCAGCAGAATTATGACAAGGTACTTGTTTGTTCTTTATCCATGTGACCCTTGCCCTATGGGCTCCGTGCGCCAATGAAAGAGGGCGCCCTTTTATCTAGCAACGACGTCCCATGGGCGGGACAATTAGCTGGTTGACGCGCACTGTTCCTTGTGTGTGACGCACGTACGGCCGCGCGTCGCAGCAAAATTGCAGTCAGGCAAGATGGCATCGGTCGGTCACCCCCAACTGTGCTTTCTTTGCCGGTGAGGGGGTACTTGTGAACGGAGCGGATAAGCTTTGCTCTCTGTTTCCACAAAACCCCATTTACAGCTTTTGTCACACCCCTTGTGTCAAGATCTTTGGTCCGTAGACTGATCCACTAAGGCCTGTCCCATGATGCCTTAACCCATCTCAGCCTAAATGTCTGACATGCATGCACAAAAGTCCGACATGCATGCACGTGTGTATAACGCACATAGCTGGGGCATGTACGGTAGTATGGCTTTACAGTGGGCGCACATGTTGTTGTGGGAGGGGTTTAAAGGTAGAGTATATCATTTGCAGCTATCCAAAGGGTAGCTGACCAAATTATTGTAAAAAGCTGACTTTTTTCAAAGATAGTAATGGCACTAAACACCCTGTGAAATTATTCTCTCTGGCATGCTGTCGTTTTGAAGAAAACACTAAAAGAAGGTCATCTCCAAAGATGCTTCTAAAGGTACATTTTTGTTAATAACCTTTAGTTGTTCGTTTTTAGTTCGACGAAGCCCTGAATTGATACGATGCACACTATGCTATTATTCGTCGGTGCAGTGCGTGACATCGCGTGGCTGCAATCGGCTGAATTAGAACGTATCTCGGACGCTGATTTCTGGTGCAGTTCAAACTTGACTCTGCAACTTTTAAACTGAAATCGAGATCCTATAATATTGTTTTTCATCAGGTTAGTTGTTAAGCGCCCTTCTTTAGAGTTTTGAGCACTTTTGTTGCTTGAAACGAAAAAAATGCACAAATGACAAAACATGTACTCTGCCTTTAATGGATCGATCTATTACATAGAGCAGCTGAGCAAAAACAGCTGCTTAAACAATTAACGTGCTAAGCATGAATCAGTTTGCATACCAGTCACATGCAATCTACATTGCATGACCTTTTGGCTGGTTACCTTATTTTGTGCTAAGCAAATTCTCGTGGGTAGAAGCTCCATGAAACCATGGATCCTCTACACAAGGATAAACAACTTTCCCAAATTTCTATTTAGAGGCGTGATATGGCACTTGTGTTTCTTGCGTGCCTGTGCACGAGACTCAGCACGCAACTGCAGTCTTTCAGTGGTCAGATTTCTGTCAGGACTCCAGCTGTCAGTGATCATGGCGTGCACCCATTGTTCTACATGTTCTTTGCATTGTTCTATGCACAGACGCGGCATATCACGCATGTAGACAAACCGTTCAGTACATTTTGTACACAAGCTCAGATGAGTCATTTATCCTTGTGTAAAGGATCTGCAATGAAACTTAGTACGTGCAAAGTATAAAATGTAAAGCTTGATTACATGTGATTTATTATACTTCCTGTTTAAAGATTAAAAAAACAAAATACCCTCACTTTGCTTCATCCCCGTGCTATTTGTTGGTTGCAGAACCAAAAAGGAGACAAAGAACCTGAACGGACCAAGAAACCCAAAAGCCCTCCGACCATCACTTCAGGGTCTCCCACGGTAGTCCGCCCGGTACCAGTCAAAGCAGAAGACGGAGGGACAGATCAAGAGGTCAAGCAGACAGAACCAGTGACCAATGAGGTCATGGGTCAAATGTCACAAGGTCCTGCTACCCATCCAGGGTTCCAGCGATCAGTCTCCATGCAAGCCAACCTCGGCTACTTGGCCGTTAACGCTGGGGCCAGCGGACAGTCTTCACCTGGCAAGGTGAACGACATCCTGCAGAAGCTTCTCGCTAATCCAGGGGAAGGAGCAGCCCAGCACGCCAAGGACTACCCTCTCAGCCACCGACAGATACAGACTGTTGAAAGCCTAGAGAGGAGACAAAGTCAAAAACAGGCCCTTGAGGGGAAGACTACCGATCAAGGATTAGGTCAAGGGTCGACTGTGAGGACCGTAGAGAGTATAGAGAAGCAGCACGCTAATGCGACTGTGATGGAGTCTACTGAGGAAGCCCAGGGGTATCCGATCCAGGACCTCTTGGCAAAACTGAATATCGCTCAGCAGAACCAACCGACTGGACAACAAGAGACAACAGAAGGCCACACCATAGTCACCCAACCGCTGTCCCAAGGTGGTCTAGCGCAGCTGCAGGAAGCGATCCACAGGCAGAACATTGCTGGCAACGTGCCAAGTGGATTGAGGACAAGTACGGAGGAGGTCCAAGGAGAGTCGGACCCAGATATCAACCAGAAGCTACTGACCAATCTAGCGGCAAGGGCTGCTGTCCAAACTGCCCAACCGTCATCAAACATTGCACAGTTACAGCTGATCCATCCGTCGGCTATCCGACCAAACCCACCCATCAGACCCCAGGGCGGCAGGATACCAGTCAACTTCCCCGGTAACCAGCAGGTACCGTCTTTACAGCAGCTTGCATCTGGTAGGCAGCAGCACGTTCCCATGGTACCAACTCAAACAACAACCAATGGCATCACGGCAGGCGCTGTAAGTTTGAAAATTTACTTCCAAAATAAACCCTACTCTTTGATACTTTATTTTCTTGGTTAAATTCTCTGTAAAATCTTTTCAGTCCATTTTATTTTCATAATGTTGGCCTGTAGACACAGGCAAATGACAGGCCTAATTAGGCAAAAGATACAAAACGGTTGAAAAATGTACTCATAAAAATGTGGCATTATTCTGTTTTTTCCCTCATTTTAGCCAACGTCTCCTCAGAAGATACCAGGGTCGTTACATCCGCCAACTTTACTCACACCTCAGGCTTTCAGAAAGAGATCAGCTAGTGAGACTGTACAAATGACACACCCATCCCAGCTCTTCCCCCCTGTCGCCGAAAATGTAGCCGTCCAACACGGACCACAAACCAATCAGCATCCAGCAATGGGTCACCCTGTCAGTAGCAGTCGGCACAGTCCACTGTTGAACAGGGTGGAAATAGACAGGAGGGTGAATACTGCAGGGGCGCTCAATAAGGAGCAATTTAAACAAGCTTTTGTACATTTATTACAGGTAATATCACAATATTCTTTTCTTTTTTTAATGATTCCAGATTCCAGTTATATCAGATATAAACCTTGGCAATCTCAGAGATCCAGTAGTTGAGACGTCTGCACTAGTAAGCAGGAGGTTGTGGGTTCGAGTCCCACATGAGTAAACTCGTGAAGTTTTCTCTTGCACAATACTGACTGAAGCGCTCATAACAATTATGTATGTTAAGGGCAAAACTCAACAACAGTCAAGCCATCATATGTTAAGCTACCTTAGTTCATTTGGAACACCAAACAAATGTCAGTGTTCTGTATGGCAAAATGCCAACAACTAAGCATAATACATGTATGGGTTGAAGATGTTGCATTGTTTCTGTGTTTCTTGAGCAGGAGAAGAATGATAAATTTTTCATCAAGCAACTCCCTTTTGTGAGTCCTGCAGCCGATTTCACGAAACTTTACGTAATGGCATGAGTCCACTTGCACCACAATTTATTGCGTAAGTTGCGCAACATTCCACGCTGTGCAACATTTAAGTTATGACGATTTCACAAAAGTTTCATAGTGCCTAAGTCCACGACTTGCGCAGCAAATGATGACGTAACTTGCGCAATCATTTTAGGTGCCATAAGTTGTGACGTAGCGACTGAAAACGCCTGTTGATACAAGACAGTCACAGCTTTGTGTTTGAAGTAAATGAATTGCTATATTACTCGTGACCAAATTTTTAGAGTTGCCGCACGATTCCGAAGAAAGTTGGACAAAACTATTTTTCAAAATGGCGGGCGGAGTTGATTCAACAATCAGTCACAATCAGCAAAATCAGTCACAAACAGCCTTTGTAAATGCTGTTATTATCCTTGTCCAAGATGTTTAGATTATTTAAAACTTTGCGCAGCTACGTCAAGTTATGTGAAATCAATAAATTTGTTGCGTAAGTCCTACGAATTGTGTAAGTTACGCACTGTTTCATGAAATCGGCGGCTGCATCAGAATTTCCCACCCCAACCACAACCCCCAACCCCGAGAAAGAAAGAAAAACCACTTTCCTGAGTTGCTTGCACCTTTATTTTGGCTGAAAACCTGTTATTTTCCCCCTCCATTCCTTAGACTGACGGCAACTTCCTGAGCAGCTTACACAATGCCTACCTGCAGACGCTCCATTTAAACCAGTGATCCAACTAGACCAGGATGGATCGGGTGTCACCAACTACTTGACGGTGAGCCATTATGATGACATCATCTACATGCTTCATGGATATGTCATAGTGAGTCAGCTGTTTTTTCACACCAAACTTGTGAAAATATTCAACTTTTTGTAGAAGTTTAAAAGATGTTGTAACAATTCTCAAAGTGAGAAAAATTGTTAACTTATGGTTAAACTTGTACACAACTGGAATGTTCATGTACCACCATTGTCGCTTTACCCAAAATTTAAAAAAAATAATCGGTAATGCACATCCATGTAACATAATTCAATTTCATACTTAATTTTCCATAACCAAATGTAACTGTCAAATTCTGACACAGGTACCGCATTAACTATTCCCTACTTATGATATTGTCAATGCTCAACAGCACAAGTCGTATCAAATTGAGTTTTCAACTTTTGATGTCTTGAGAATCGAAAGACTCGAGGGCTTAAATTTTCACAGGTGTTTCTAATCGACTTTTGGATTACAAATTTCCTTTTCCCCACTTATATTCCAAAATAAAAAGCCATTCAGTGAATATTGAATACAATATTTGGCTGAAAAGTTGAATTTGTAAAAAGAAAAAAAAGCTGACCTGACTTAGAAATAAAAAAGTGTCATCTCAAGACTATAAGAGTATGTCAAATCTTAAGGACATCTTTTGAATCACTTTTTTGAACTGAAATCAAGCAGGACCAACGATCGCTGGTTCTGCACTTGTGACTTCGATTTTAATTAACTTTTACCTTGTTTAAAAAAAAGGATATTTTTCTTTGAAAAAAAAATGTAAAAATAAAAACTTTGTAAAAAATTGGAATCCGAAGGAGATATGCCTTTGACCTTTTTGATTTAAATTCTATTTGCCTTGTAAGAAAGCTGAAAGTCCCATGTAGCAATTTTTTTACGTTAAATTATACAAAGTGGTAACAAAAAGTGAAGAGGCAATACTTGTATATGATGTTGCTTACTTAAAGTAATTTTCTTAAATTTCATATTTTTTTTTGTGATTTTTGTCTGATTATACCATCATGAATGGTATGCGCAAAGCAAGAATGCTTACACTTTAAGCACATTCGGGGATAGAAATCCACTTATGAATGTGCTGTGAAATTTGCTGAATTTGTTTTTGTGATTTTCAATTGATGTTTATGGTTTTTTTGCATGCGAGTGTTTGGGATAAGGTTTTGTAAATTAGGAAAAGGCGAAAAAATGAAGGAAGGAAAACAGGAAAGAGAAAGATAGAGATGTGGAAATAATCGTTTGGTCTAAATAATGGTAAAGATGTAAGTTTCGACTGAAAAGGTTAGCTGCTTTAATTTCTTAATTGTATTGTAGGATTTTTTTTGTTCTGGACTGAAGCAACTTCGCGAAAGGTGTAGTTGTCACAATTCGTTTTGAGAACCAACTAAACACTACAGACGTCTTTGTATTGTTTAGATGGTAATCTCAGTTCATGTTGTTGTATTTTTCTAGATTTAAGGTGTTCACATGATAATGTCTTCAACAAGGTTTCTTAGGGGAGTGTTTCCTTTGTGTTATGATAGAGTGTTTGTTGGTATATTGTAGATGTTATTAGGCTGGGGGGGGGGTAGGGTAGGTGGGGGGGGGGGGGTAGGGTAGGTAGGGGGAGGGTAGGTGGGGGAAGTGGGGGGACACAGATACAGTGTATTTCAAAGTGTTTGTGTGTTGTCTAGAGGGTATTTAGGGACTCTTCGTGTTTTATTCGGGAACAAAAAGGTTCCTTTTGATAACTGTTGATAAATGTTGCAGACTGATCAAGTAGACAAGAGTCCTTTTTGGGTTTTTTTGTAATTGACCAGTCAAATGACTTGATTCAAGAGTACCGTTAACAAAAGATCATTCAGTAAAATGGTACAAGAAGTTTGATTGGTCAGTTGAAGTCTATATAACTACTATTTATTATGGGTGCTTTATGTGGTTTTGGTTTTTGGTTTTATTATTTCTATAAACATATTTTTTTTTGGGGGGGGGGGCTGTTCTCTCTTCTTTTTTTCTGTTTTTTTTTTTTTTTTTTTAGGGGGGGGGGGACTTTTTTGGAGGGGGCTTGGGGGAGTTTTTTTTTGTGGGGGGGGGGTGTTGTGTTGGGGGAGGGGGTTTGAATGGGAAATACTTTATTTTGGATTGGGAGATCTGAGGCATCAAGCAAGTCTACCCTTTTTGCCATTTTCCTGGTAGTCTTGCATAAGAAAAAAAATACATATGAATATTACTTTTGGGTGACAAATAGGCGAGACTGATTTTTCAAATGTTTTTGGAGTGTTTTTCCCCTCTTCCTTTTGGAGGAAAAAAAACTGATTGGGGGCATTTTCTGCAAAAAGATACAATTTCATGTTTGTCATAGAAGTATAATATGTAATACAATCACTGGTTATGGATCATGTTTTACATGCAGCAACTGATTTTGCCATTTGTACATAGCAACCATCCACAACAAGTGGCTGCCATCTTGGCTAGCGCATGATCCTGTTGCCGTGCCAACACCCCCTGATTACATATATATTTTATGACGAATTACCAGTAGGAAAATGGCAACCAATTTCAGGACCATTGTGATTGTTATTGGCCAGATAATGTACAAAACTATGCAAAACTATAAGGCTTGACGGTTATTATCTGGCCATAACACAGACAATGGTTTTTGATCGTGGGTAGAACATCGCTGTAATGAACACAAGTTAACGTGGTAGTTTATTATTGAAATATTCGGCCACCGATGCCCAATACCATTGTAGATAGATTTCAAGAGCAATAGGAGAAGTTTATTATACATGTTGGATATAATGGTGTTCTTTATAGCGATGTTCTACTGCATGTAGGCCATCAGCCTTGGTCCAAAATTTGGCCACCGGTATCAAATGAGGGGAATAATCGTCATAGCGATTTTCGGCAAGGTATACACCTCCAGAGTTGGAAAATATGTGATAGCATTGCAGCGGTGGCAGCTTTTTGGGTGTTAGGCCAAAAAAAAAAATATTCGGTCTCTGGTCAGACCAAAGTTCCGGAATTGACGTGGCCACGCGGCTTTTTTTTTTTTTTTTTCTTTTTTTCTTTTTTTCTTCAAGCTTGGATTGTACAGACAAGGTGGGGTACTATTTTGCTTTTTTGGTGTCCTCATGTACATTGGTGTCCTCCATAATTTGCCTTGGTGCTTTCGATCATTTGCCCTGGTGCAATTTCCCATTCATTGGTGCTCTTTGGTAAAAGAAATTGAGGAGGTGCAGAAATAGAGGGCGCTGTTGGAGCTACCGCGGAACATTTTGGAGAAAAATAAAGATCGACGCGCATGATTAAAATCGATGCGCGCGCTGACCAGAGACCGACTTGCTTGTTACCACTCTAGGGGCGGTATACCTTGCGCATGCGCACTATAATCATTTATGCCCTGATTTGATACTGGCCAAACCCCCCAGGCTGATGGCCTAATGGGAGAGTTTTCACAAGATGCCAGATGGAAGAACTGGGCCCAGTCTTGTGGAACTTCTTAGAAGAAAATATTGGGAAGCCAGTCTCAAGCAGTCTACATCGCTTCTCATTGTGGCTGGTAACCCGCCCATGAAACTGGTCTCAAGTCTGCAGTCCAGTTTGGCAACCTGTGGTTTTCTCCTAGAAGTATGTCACTAAGCAAGCATTCTTCAGAGGCAAATCTGTTTAAATTCAAAAAAGAGAACCCTAAGTTTTGGTCAGTGATATATTTGTTTTTCATTCACACGTACACATCGAGTTGGTCAACATTTTTTAGTCAGTATTTCAGAATCGGGGGACGCAACTTTCTTTTTGCATTTTTGTTGTTGGAAATTTCCATTTATGATATTGATTTGAAATTGTTGATAATTTCATGCCACTCATGTTTGCTTGCTTGGCGACTTAAAGAAAATTCTTGTAATGTTTTAATTACCATGGTAACAAAAATGACATAGGTTTGTGTCACAAAAATTTATAGCCTAGTCAACCTGTTACCATGGATTTCTGGGTTTTTTTCCTTTTTCTTTTTTTATTTGTTTTTATTTTTTAAGAGCTTTCCCAGTTGCACAACCTATTACATTTCACAGTTTGTCAAATCGTTAGTAGACATTTCTAACTAGCCAGCTCCATCTTGTACAACTGATCAGCGAAAGATACCACAAAGCAGATATTCTTTAAAATTCTATTAAAATTTCAAATGACATAGTTATTTTAACGGAAAGCCAAGTTGTATTTTACTCTCAGCAGTGTTTTAACTCTAATTCTGAGTCGTAACTGGGAAAGTTCTTTAACCCCAACTTCCCTAAATCCTACAAAATCTGATTTCTTATTTATTTTGTAGGATTTTCAAGGATTAAGCACAGCAGGGCCCGGTCACTGGTGCTTTGCATGTTACTTGGTTTCTCAATTTGGATTAAGCACAAAAGAATGTGGCATGTGCTTATTGCTTTTGTTAGATTTTGAAGGATTTGGGAATCTGTCCAATGATTTTCCATGGAAATTTTACTTGACAGATTTTGTTCCTGCAATGCATTCATTGCATGCCTGTTATTTATAAGAACAAAGGCAGGGAGAATCTTTTGATGAAACTTGTCACCAACTATAAGTTTCCATCGAAGAAAAAAAAATGATCCTACCTGTGTTAACAGTTTGGAATTAATAGCATCCGTATTTCGTTGTTTTTTTAGTGACTGTGGAGTATCCCATTTAAATGTGATTTTGGGTTCTTTTCGTTCCGACTGATTTAATGAAAAAATTGCTGGTCAGAATTGATTTCCGAGAAATTCAGTTTGTAACTTAACAGGTCTGTCAAGAGAGGGCGCTGTTTCTGAAGTGACCAATAAAGGGCAAGTTGGATGAAAAGCCATTTAGTCAAGCAGTGGCTTGGTTAGTGGTGTACCTTGCGTCTTCGAACCACCCTTCTGGTCTAAAACTTGAAGGTTTGTCATTTTGGAAAGTTAACCATGTTATGTCATTGCCCGACCAGAAAACCAAGGGTTTTAAGTCCAGAGTTGTAACAAGTCACTGTTTTTTTGTGACTCGAGTCGAGTCATTTTAAAGAAGTGACTCGATCGAGTCATTTTAAAGAAGTGACTCGAGTTGAGTCATTTTAAAGAAGTAAATTGAGTCGATTCAATTGGTCAAGAAGGTCGAGATGAGTCGAGTCAAATATTTAGCTAGAGTCAATTTGAATCTTGAATATTTGAACACTATTTACCAAAATTTATAAAGGAAGGGCATAAATGTAGCCGGCGTTCGAATCCAAGAGCTGTATAAGATATCACCCAAAGCCAATGATGAAACAACGAATTGGAAAAGTGTTTAAATTCAGGTTCCTGGATAGTATTTTGTGCATTTTAGAGCCATGAGGTGGGAGTCTGTGACACGTACGTTTGTAAATGAACGTAACAGTTGCAGCGTAAGTCATTGCAATTACTTTTCCCAAAATTTTGCTTTTATTTTTGGGATTCGAGTCTTAATAGCCTTCGCTCGAGTCGAGTCGGGTCGAGTCTTTTGATGAGGGACTCCAGTGGAGTCATTTACCCATGGGGACTCGAGTCGAGTCGAGTCACACAAAAATGGGGCTCAAGGCGGACTCGAGTCATTGACTCAAGTCATTACAACTCTGTTGAAGTCGCTAAAAACTATCGTGAAACCGCCCTGTTCGGGCTTTCTACTGTGGCTAATGCGGTTTGGCAGTCTCTTCATGCATTTGCTCCAATTTTGGGTGGGGAAAATGCCATTTTTAACCATTTTATTGGTAACAAAAAAAATGAAA